AAAAAAAAAAAAAAAAAAATCAACTGAGGTACACAGTACCTTATGAAGAATTTAAACCATCGGATATCTTCGTAAAATGACAAGATACCAAGTTTTAGTGTGAAAAAATCTGATCTAGCTGCATCATTAAATACAAAACAAAATGATATATCCACCCCTATAGTTCCTTATTTATTCCCAATTCTTCTCTTGTGGCTTCAGCCAATGTTTTCTCTTCATTAAGTTTCCAACTGTCAATTAGAGGTCTTCTATACAATCAAAAACACATTCTTACTAGTCAAATGACTAAACTAGATTTCTTAACTCAACTGAAATCCTATTTCCTAAATACATCTTTTAAATTTAATGAAGAAAGACTATTACGTTTTTTGTTCCAATGAAAAGCTTGAATCTTATAACTTCATTTTAAGAAAAAGTGCACAAAAAGCAAATATTAATTTATGAATATTCAATACTCAAATACAAACATGGAAAAGGCTGAGCACATGTACCTGTGTTTTAAGTGTTCGTTCTGTATTAATATTCTTTTCAAAGGCAGCCTTAAGATTACTGATCTCCTCCTCTTTCTTCAGTTTATACTCTGTCAACAAATTATATAAAATGTTACTGCAAGGCATTATTTTAATCTCTGCACTCCAAATCAGCAATGTCCTTATCAAATCAGTATATACTACCAAGGAACTTTCAATAACTTCATTAAGATATTTTTCTCAGTTTTACTGAGGTGTAATTGACAAAAGTGTAAGATATTTAAAGTATACAACGTCACAATATGATATACGGGGTGGGCAAAAGAAGATTTACAATTGTAATACAAATAAATAATACAATAATAAATAATAATACAAGAATAAACTCTGTTTCGCATACTCACAACTGTAAACCTACTTTTGTCCACCCCATATATACATTGTGAAAAGATTCTCCCCTTCCATCACCTCACAGATTTACCTTATTTATTTTTTTAAGGGTGAGAATATTTAAGTTATAGTAAGATAATTCTTAAGGCTAGTTGTTAACATATGAAAACAAATATTTTGAAAACCTAACAAATAATATAAACAGCTAAAGATTTACTCTGAACTAATTTAACATTATGCTTTTAAAAAACCCAAAAACCTGCATACCTTCCTCTGATTTCCTCATTTTATCAGTTAGCTCTTCATTTTCTTTTCTTAGTAAGTCAACATCTTTGGTTAGCATGCTGTTCATTTCCTCGAGCTAAACAAAGCACACAAAAGTTTAAGCTATAATCTCTTTGCTAGTCTTATATTTAAAGCAATAACCTTTAAAAAAATACTTTCCTTTTTCCATAGATGAAAACAGGTCTGACACTGCTTAACTATACAAATGCCTCGTTTTCAGTTTAAAATATGACTATAATTAAATTATTTTTTTAAAACCAATTGTTAGCTTCCACAAATCATTTCAGTGTGTGTGTATGCACGCACACATACATACATATACATATGAATAAAAGGGAAAAAATGTAATAAAAAGAGAACTGGACTAGAAACTAGAAAATTTCCTTTTAGTTTTCTAGCTCTGTGATCCTTAGCAAGTCACAATCTTTCTGAGTCTCAGTTTCTTCATCTGAAGGATAATGAACATGACAATTAAAAATGTTTGATTGATTACTTTTAGTAAGGTACTTATTCATCACTCTACGTATATTATTTAATTTCATCTTCATAAGAATCCTGTGTAGTAGTATTGTTATTTCTATTTTATAGATGAAGAATCTGAGGCTTGGAGAAGTTAAAGCAAACTGCCAAGACTATGTCACTTCTAAGGGACAAAGCTGGGATGTGAACCCAGGTCTGCTCACACCAGAGCACTTGATAGTGGCTTCAAAAGAAGAAAAACCTCTCTAACTCCCCTTTCTAAACCCATGATCTATTTCAGACTATAAATTTAAGGAATAGGTAACTGTCTGTAGTACTAGTTTTTCTATAATGGATTTATATATATCCACAAAAAATTCCTCATCCCAAAATATTTTTTCTGAATTTTAGAGAATTCTGGCCATAAAATCAGTTCTAATGTATTAATATAATACAGCAAATAAATTTAAGCATTTCTTCACATAAAATATATTAAGATCTATAGCCAGGAGGAGGAAAAAACCCAATACAATGAATAAAATTTCAATTCTTAAAAACCGTTTTGAATTACATAAACTGTTTTATACATGAATACATATTGACCATTGTATACATGTAAATATGCATGCACACACATTTACCCCCTAAACTTTAAGTTGTAACCTATTTTGATTTAAAATTTTAAGTCATGTAACTTACCTGACTATCATCACTTACCCGACTAAGAGTGTGATCTTTATCTGTAATCTCTTGTCTATTTCTTGAAGCAGCTTTCTTGCTTTCTTGGGTCAATTCAAAGTACTGTTCTTCTAAAAGCCCTCGAGCCAACTGCTCAGATTCAGCTTTTGTTTCTGCTAGATCCAACTGAGTAACAAGAGTCTCTCTGCAATACATTTATAAGGGAAGTGAATACAAATTCAGTTCATTCTTCCAACTTAACCATATATGTAAAAGCACAATTTACAACTTCTTCACTCTTGGACAGTGACTGCCATGAACATCCTCATGGTTGATGAAATCATGTGAACTGGTATGTCTTCTCTCACAGGGTGACTGAGCTCAAAATCATCTCTTCAAGAACCTGAGATTTAGCACATCTTATACCCATCTACCATTACAGAGCCTGAGCCATTGTTGTTTTTTTAATTGACTTTTTAGAGAGGGAGGAAGGGTGAGAGAAAGAGAGAGAAACATCGATGTGAGAGATACATCAATTAGTTGCCTCCCGTAGGTGCCCCGACCAGGGATCAAACCCACAACCTAGGTGTGTGCCCTGACTAAGAATCGAACCTCTGACCTTCCAGTGCATAGGATGATGTTCCAACCAACTAAGCCACACCAGCCAGAGCAAGCCTGAGCCATTCTTTTTTTTTTTCTTTTTTTTTAATATATCTTTATTGATTTCAGAGAGAGGATAGGAGAGGGAGAGAGAGAGATAGAAACATAAATGATGAGAGAGTCATTGATCGGCTGCCTCCTGCATGCCCCCAACTGGGGGTTGAGCCCGCAACCCGGGCATGTGCCCTGACCGGGAACCGAACCCCGATAACCTGGATCCTAGGTCGACGCTCAACCGCTGAGCCACACCTGGCCGGGCCTGAGCCATTCTTAATTTAAACAATAAATGCAGTTTATGCTTGTTAGTTAAAAAAACTGAAATGATAAATATACTTTTCTTAATGCTTAGAATAAACTTTGAATCCATTAGCAACTTTTTATTAAATATAAGTTCTCCCTTTGAAAAACTATAAAAGTATACATCAGGCTCAATAAATGTTTGCCAATGAATACTTCCCCCCTGTTTTATACTAAATGAGTGATGCAAATAGAATTTTCTGTCTCAGACCTAAAGAGAGAAACATACTATAATAACTACAAAAAAAAAAAAAAGAGAAAGAGAGCGAATATTCATTCATTTGTTCAACAAGTATTTATCTGAATGCTGCCATGTGCCAAACACTGTTACAGGAATCAAGATATGTAGCAGTAATACAGCTGCTGGCCTCAGAAAGCATACATTACTGAGGTGACACAGAAAATTTACAAAAATGAAGTAATATACAGTATGCCAGAGAATAATTTTAAAAAGAAATGGTAGAATGTGGTTGCTACATAAAATGTGGTCACTATTTTATATAGGATGATCAAAGAGTCGTTACCGCTAAGCTGCAATTGAGAAGATATATGAAATAAGAGAGTAAGCCATGTGCTATCTGGGAATACAGTGTTTGGGCAGAGGAAACACCTAATAACAAATGCCCTAAGGTTGGTCTGAAAGAAGTTAATGTAAGTAGAATGAGAGCCAGGGGAAAGCTGTGAGAGACATAGCAAGAGAAGGGGGTGGTGGGTGGTGGGGAGAAGAACAGGCATTATAAGGCTTTCTAAAAACAATATAAGGACATTGGCTTTTTTCCTAAGTATCCTAAGTTTTAAAAATTCTGGCTGCTGTATTAAGATCAGACACTAGGGGGACAATGGCAAAAACAGGGATACCAGTTAGGAAAGTACTGAAATAATTAAGATTGGAAATGAGCCTGGCCTGTGTAGCTCAGCTGTTGAGCATCGACTTATGATCCAGGAGATCGAGGTTTGATTCCTGGTCAAGGCACATGACACGGTTGTGGGCTCAATCCCCAGCAGGAAGCATGCAGGAGGCAGCAGATCAATGACTCTCTCTCATCACTGACTGTTCCTCTCTCTCTCTCCCCCTCTCCCTTCCTCTCTCTGAAATCAAGAAAAACATTTAAAATATATATATATATATATATATATAGGAAATGACCTTTTGGATCACATTGGTAAATGGTACAAATGAACTGATCGGATTCTGGACACATACACACACACACACACACACATATATATATATTTATATGTGAGAGATAGATGGAAATATCAATGATGAGAGTCATTGATCAGCTGCCTCCTGTACACCCTCTACTGGGGATCGAGCCCGAAACCCAGGTATGTACGCTGAATGGGAATCGAACCTTGATCTCCTGGAATACAGGAATACTCAACCGATGAGTCATGCTGGCCGGGCCTAGACATACGTTTTAGTTATAATTAGAAGACTTATTGATGGACTGCATGTAGTAACTTAAAAGAAAAGAGTCTAGGATGGTTTCAAGTTTTTGACTGAAATAAGTGGGAATAATAAAATTGCTAATACTGAAATGGAAAAGACAAGGAGGAGCAGGTTGGTAAGGTGAAGGAATCAGGAATTTTCTCTAGACATGTTACATATGAGATGCTTATTAAACACTCAAGTGGAGATGTCAAATAGACAGCTGAATATACAAGCCTAGAATTCAGGGGAGAATATACTAGTACACTAATGCTATTTAAAGTTTTGAGGCTGGATAAGAACAAGTAGGGAGTGTTCCCTTGGGCCCTCCAAACTTTAAAAGTCTCAGAGATGGGAAGGGACAAAGGAGCAAAGGAGGTTGAGAAACAGTAGCCAGTTCAATAAGACGAAAATATTGCGTGATATCACAAAGCCAAATGAAGAACTTTTGTCAAGAGAGAGTAATCAACTATGTCGACTACTGCTGTTAAATAAGATAAAGACTGAGAATTGACTATTGTCTTTAACTTTAGGAAGTCCCCAGTGACCTTGAGAAGAGTTATTTTAGTAGAGTGATGAGTAGAATATCTGACTGAAGTGGGATTGAGAGACAATGGGTGAAGAGGGCCTGAAGAGAAATGGTATGTCACTTTCAGGAAGTTTGCTATAAAAGAAAGCAGAAAAATGATACAGTAACCGGATGTGGGTATGCAATTAAGAGGGTTATTTTTTTTAAGGAGATATTTGTCTGTATGTTTATACAACAACAATAGGAATGACTATAGAAAGAAAAAAATGGGTGTAGGAAAGAGGAGAGAATTACTGGAGTCATATTTGTAAGTAGGTAACAAGGGATGGGATCAAAGGGCTACCTTTAGGTAAAAGCCCATTTTGGCCATTTACATCAATTAAAAGGAAGGCAGGAGTTATAGGTACAGATGTAGATAGGTTAGTAGCTATGTGATGAGGGAGAGTAGATGCTCTCTTACATCTAGGGCCATTTGCTGAGTATGAGGAAAGGTTGTTGAAGATCTGAGGAGAGAGGAGATATATAAAATAGTTGTCCAGAAGAGTAGATGAATTAGTACATTATTAGGTAAAGATAGGAAATATTGCCACTGGTAAGCCTATGAATACCAGGGGTGGTTCTGTGCTATTATTGCAGGGCTTCAGATAGATAACATGTTCTCTTCTGGGGTTACCACTTTGCATCAAATTCAGAATAAAGTATTGAAGTTATAGTTTAAAATGCCAGAAAACCTATTTATCCCAAATTACATTTCTATCCCAGGCTGTGAAATTGTGCAAAGAATGAGATGGTTCAGGATAAAATTATCTGCAACTATTTTCATCCAAGCTTCACCACTCTCCACAGGGAAAGATCTGTCTTTACTGACGTTTAAGGCCAATCCCTCACCTTTTTCATCCTTATCTCCTTAAATAAATCGAGTAATTCCCGATTCTTCTAGGTTTTAAGATTATAGGCAAGGGCTCTGTTCTTGTCACTGCTATATTCCAAGTGCCCATAAAAGGCTCTGGCCCACAGAAAGTTCTCGGAAATTTTGTTTGAATCAAAGAATAGATGGGCAACCTTTCCCACTCTGATGTCCTTCCCATGACTTATTTAAATATGCTCAAATTTCTGTTGTCTTTAAAAAGAAATGGCTCTCCTTCACACTCTCCTTTAGCTACTGCTGTATCTCCTTCCCTTAACAACCAAATTTCTTAAATTTTTAATTTAACAAATATTTGTTGGACATCTATAAATGTTCTAGGTGCAATTCTAGGTGCTAGGCATATAGCAATGGATTAGAATTAAGAACAAAACATTTGAAAATTCCTTCCTTCATTGAGCTTAAGTTGTGGTAGAAAGAGAAAAACAATCAAGAAAATAAGTAAGCAGCCCAGCCGGGCGTGGCTCAGTGGTTGAGCATTGTCCTAGGATCCAGTAGATCACGGTTCGATTCCCGGTCAGGGCACATGCCGGGGCTCGATCCCCCGTCGGGGGCTTGTAGGAGGCAGCTGATCAATGATGACTCTCATCACTGATGTTTCTCTCTCTCCCTTCCTCTCTCTAAAATCAATAAAGATATATTAAAAAATAAATAAATAAAAAGACTCAACAAAAAAAAAGAAAATAAGCAAATTCTACAATATAGGAGGTGGGAATAAGTGCTACAGAGGAAAATAAAACAGGAAAGAAAGTATTGAACTGGGCTGCAATATAATGGGTTGGTGTGGAGGACATTTGCAATTTTAAAAAGGGTGTTCAGGGAAGGGTTCTCTGATGACATTTAGACCCAGACCTGAAGAAGGTGAAGGGGCAAGCCATGTATATATTCAAAGAAAACTGTTCTAGGCAGAGGGTAGAGCATGTCCAAAGGCTCTGAGGCAAGAGTGTAACTGACAGGTTTGCTAAATAGTAAGGTCACTGTGGCTGTTGTCTACAGGGTCTCTACTTCTACTCTTCCCATTTGTTTCAATCCACTTGAATCTAATATATATTCTCATCATTATTTAGGAACTCACCAAGGTACCTAACAACCTTAAATGTAATGGACAATGTATTTTTCCTTGACCTTTCTGAGTATTTGGCACTTTAAATCACTTTCTCTTTTCTTGAAATACTCTACTCCCTTAATGTTTGTGATACCCTAACTATGGTTTTCTCCTTGTATTACTGGTGACTTCTTACTTTCCCTTCCTCTACCCAATCCTTAAGAGTATAGGAGCTAGCTGTCTGTCCTCAGCCTTTATGTCTCCCAATCATACACTAGGTAGGTGTTTACAATTTATTGCCATGGGGGGTCAAATGAGTCCACATAAGTGTCTCCGTATCTCCCTCCAGACACACACATACAAAATAAATTTGTGCTAAGATTTATATAAAAATTAAGATTCTTGGCTTCTCTTGAAAAAACAGATCTTGAAATACTGGGTCAGTGTTACCATGTAGCAACAAGTGGTTAGAACTGAGACATAAACTCATTTTGTTATAATCATTATAACTCACACAATGAATGTACCCATACTTAGATCCAACTAATTTCCACCCAGCTAAATGTATGGTATCACAGGCTCATGAGTTTATAAACTCTGACACAATCACCTTAACAAATTTCATCTATCTTAGTGGTTTCAATATGCACAGACTGTCAAATCAGCTTCAAGCCCTTATCTTTTCTCTGAGTTCAGAAGCAGTAGACCCAACTGTCTGGTATCCATTTCTCTTTGGACATTCCATAGGCACTCAGATTCAATAGGTCTGAAATGGAAATAATATTGTCTCCCCCATTTTCACAATTTGGCATTCCTTAACTCAGGGACTAGTGTTACCATCAACACAATTGCCCTGGTCAGAAACTTGAGAGTAGACCTGAAAATTTCTAACCTTTACTCCCACTCCCCCAAATCTACAAGTCCTACTGTTTCTACTTTCCTATTTTTCCCCATGCACTTGCCTCTTCCTTTACTGTAAACTTCCACTACAATTTTACATCTAGATTATTCCAGTGGCTGTATAAGCGTACTCCCTGTATCCAGCCAGCTTTGACTCACTCCAATCCATTCTCCACTCTAAAGAGTAGAGCTTTCTAAAACACCATCTTGTCAATCCCTAGCTTAGAATTTTCATTCATTCATTCATTCATTCATTCATTCATTCATTGAATACTTATTCTTTGCAAGGCCCTAATCTAGGTGATATAGACACACAACAGAGAACAACAAAAACAAAACTTCCCACTCTTCAATGTTTGATAATTCCAAACAATTTAGCAAGACAGACAAGACACTTTGTAATCTGACTTAGGTTTTCTCTAGTACTACCTGTCACCAACTGTCTCCCTACCTGTAAACTAAGCCATTTGCTATTGTCCAAATCACAGAATGGCTTTTGCCAATATTACCTCCTTCCCCATATCCCATTCCCTAGTAAATACTTCTGTTTCTTAGTTGCCACCTGGGAAATGTTCTCTGAATCCTATATGGTAAGAGGAGGCATGTTCATCAATATGTTCCAATAGCCCTTTGTTACAGTCATCTACATTAATTTTATGTCTCCAGCCTAGATTCTGAAGCACTGGAAAGTGAAAACCATAGTTTATTAATAATTATATCACTGGCATGAGGTATAGTGATTAGCACAATAGTGATGATCATTATCTTTCTCTGAAATAGATCAAACAAGGGCAAGCAAGTCAATCCTCTGAAATAGTACAGTATGTAGTAGATTGGGTACCCCATCACAGTGCATGCACATAACCTGGGATTGCATATTACATTGGAAACATTATACAAACAACAGCCACAGGCCATACTCTATAATAGGTAGTATATCACCGTCATAGAGACTAACCAGGAAACATAACTTTGTAACTCCCTTAGTCTCAACCTAATGTATTAAGGACCTAAGCACTGAGTGTCAATAGTTGCTAACACCACAAATAGGCAACCAGACATTACAAAGTTATATATGAGGCAGTCTTATCCCCTCTAAAAATCAGATTTGAATCCCATTAGGCCTTCAGATTAGGGATGTCCAATTACATTTTCTACAATGATGGAATGTTCTACATTTGCGCTGTCCAATAGGAGACACCAAACAGCTGAAATGTGGCTAGCACATCTGATGAACTAAAGTTTTAATTTTATTTAAATGAATTAAACTTTAAATTTAAATGGCTACATGTGGTTAGTGGCTACCATATTGGACAGCACAGCTCTAGATTTATTTATTTATTTTTAAATCCTCACCCAAGACTATTTTTTCCATTGCTTTTCAGAGATAGTGGAAGGGAAAGAGAAAGAGACACATCAATTAGTCGCCTCTTGCATGCACCCTGATTGACCGGGCTGGGGATCAAGCCTGCAACCGAGGTACGTGCCCTTGGTTGAAATCGAACCTGGGACCCTTCAGTGCACGGCTGATGCTCTAACCACTGAGCCAAACAGGCCAGGGCCAGGTTTAACCACCAATTTGCAGGAAATACAGAGGGAGGATGAAGATATTCAATTAATTATGGAAATGAAGTCAACAAAATCGTAACGAAAATATACGACAAATAATCCAGTTCTTTCAACAAATAACTGTTAGAATACTGGTTACTCTTGTGTTGGAGAGGGAAGAAGATATAATTAGAGAGAGGATACAGTGGAATTCTGCAGTGGAGAGCAAAGTTCCACCTCTTCCATGGGTGGTAGTTACAATGGTATTTGTCATATAATTCATAAAACTCCATGTTTTATTATTTTATGTATTTGTTTTCTTCAATAATAAAAGTTAAAATTTCTTTCAAAGGTGGTTTTATGAAAAGAGAATATAACAATGTCAGAAAACTAGTTCCAGTGTCTGTTCTGACACTATCTAGCTATGAAAAGTTGTTACATTTACACGGCTTTATAAGATTTTCTCTTTCTAAGGCCCTAAGTGCACATGCAATGGAAATTAACCTGCATAACAGGTTAATTTCACGAGGAAGACCTTAAATACCTTTACCTCACATAAAACGACTTGTGAATACAGCATGAACTATTTATATACAAACAGATCTTTGAAAACTAAGAGACCTTTGAAAACAGTGTTAATATATTAAATTATTTCTTCACCATAAAGGTAAACTTTAGTCTAAACCTAGTTTGACTTGTTTTGAAAGTGTAGATGTGCTAGTAATCATGAATTAACCCAACATGATTTACTATACCACTGCCATCAGAATAATAGCACATCTACACTATCTTTAAATTTTAAGAACTTAAGTTTTGTTATAATACTGAGTCTTGTTCTAAAGTAAAATAAACATACTTCTCATTTTGTAGTTCCTGTATTTTCTTTAAATTTTCTCTGTTTTTTTCTTCAATTTCTTCCTTAAGTTCCTTTACCTGGGTTTTATAAAGTGTCTGCAAAACAAGTGATAAAAAATAAAAGTGTTTATAGTGGGTTAGAAACAGTTGGTAGTTTCTTATAAAGTTAAACAACTAACAGATGATCCAACAATTCTACTCCCAAGTATTTAAATAGAATACAAGCTTGGCAACTAAAAGAAACAAACAAAAAGTTCAGAGGCTTCAATAAAGCCTCAAAGCTGTAAATGCTCATCAACGGTAGCAGTAAAAATAACTTGGCCTGCAACAAGCAAGAGTTACAGTGACTTCTTTGGAGAAAAAGCAAAACAGATGCATAAAACACATATAAAACCAAACAGGAAAAATAACTTGAACAATGTATGCATGCAGGCTACTGTAATATGCATACACGAACCACGTGATAATACTGGCACTCTAAGCCACTCGAATTTGCCACCAGGCAGACAGAACCTTTAACAAAGTTTCATGGGTAGCTCTAGAGTTTGATGGCAATTTTGGAAATATTTAGACAAAAATTGTGATTTTTTTTCTTTTTTTTTGTTATCCTCACTCAAGGATATTTTTTCCATTGATTTTTTTTTTTTTTTTTTTTTTTTTTTAGTAA